CTGTTTTTTTAAGAGATCGCTGATTACACTGCAACTCAATCATAACCGTTTGAAAGAGGATGAGTTGCAACGAATGCTTCCAAAAGCTGTGTAATGTTTTTTCTGCTGGGTGTTACGCTTTTTGAAACAGAAAGAACGTCTTAATATTTTATGATGGGAATTGTTTTGTTCAATTTCAGTGAACATCGGTCAGCTCCGACACGCAAAAAAATATTGCAAGGTTTTCTATGTTCTGCATACGATTTTGAAAGAATCGTGCTGCATAAGGATCTAGTGGGGCACAGCCAAGATGGAAGCTGATCACCTTGATCGAAGAAAATGTGCGCCCTGTGTACGAGTGATTAGGTTGATTATCAAGAGTCCCATACCTGCAACTTGTAGAATCACGCCATATGGATATGAGGTAAATATAGCCTCCTTCCCACAATGAAATCTTGAAGTATAACAAAAGATGACGCTGTCAAGTTGGTAGGGTTAGCGTGAAAAATAAGTGACAAGCATTGGCGTACCGAGCGAGAGCCCCCCCCCCCCGAGAATGTGTCGCGAAATTTTTGGAAGTTACGTACATCAGTTATAAAAATGCGGAACTGATTTGTTCATAATTATAAGTAACTTACAGAATTTTGAAATATCTCAAAAATTTAATTTAATCTTATAAAAAAAAATTTCGGCGTAACTGACGCCGAGCCCCTTCATCAAAAAAAAATTTTTTTTATCCCGTCTCCTCCCGTCTCCGGCAGCAAAGAAAATCACGCAGAGACAAGCAAACGCTCGTCAACAACATAAATCCCAGTGAACAAGATCTTGTACACATAACGAACGTTTGGGGTTGACTACGATTGTGTGTCGGCAACCTCATAACATATTTACTGAACGAAGAGTCAATGAGAGAATGTGAAGTATTCAGAGGATTTTATTTTGGAACATTCGTTAATTTTTGTGGATATCGAACTTTGAGAATGCAAAAGTGCATGAAAATGATGCATAAATATGAAATTGACTCCGGCCAGCTTCCCATAGGTACCACCGTGACGCATACGCAACGCAGTCTCGATTTGACGCTTCTAATTATTCGCTTCACTTGCGAACACAAAAGCATTTTTGCTAGAAAAAGGAATGAAAGAAGTGGAAACTTTTATACAAAACTTGAGGAAAGCCAAAGCATTAAGAGAACGTTCATAAATTTCTGAGCGCTTAGATTTTAGTCAGTCTCATTGATGCTAGTACGACACTTCCAGTGATGGGTGATAGAGGTACCAGAAGAAGTCGAGGAACACCTCTGAAACGTTTTTTCTGTGGCCACAAAAACTAGAAAGTTTGAGATCGAGAGCAGAATGTTAGGAGCTAAACCCTAGAAAGACCTTTGATAAGAATCAATCGGACATACAGGCTTAATCTATAACATAATAACAACCATTAAAGAGACATCTCCATATACTACATCCAAATCTTCACTATCGAGAAGAAAAGAGATTTTCGATTGAAAGCATTCAAGACTGTCAAGTCTCGTTAAAACTCATTAACGGCAGTTGTCGTGAGTTCTTTGCACCTACAATAGAGAAATTACAGAAAAGAACAAAGCCACTCGAGCGAGAAAAACGAAAAAAACAGTAGAGCTGAAACCGAAAAAGGCAGTAAAGGCATGCGCTGCGCGCGCGTCGCGGAGGAACCTATAGGAAGCTGGCCGGGGTCTGCACTATAATAGTTTGTGATTTTATGCTCGCAATCAGCTTAACGTTGCGGTACAATTGAATGGTAAACAAGTTATGGTTCTTTTTTCCCCGCAGATAATTGACCTCTCAAAAAAGCCAACAACCATATAAGGAATCGCCGAGGTAGGCAGACATGCGAATGAAAGGCAAGGGGCCGGGAAATAGTTTGATTTCTTGCGGCCCGCTTGCAGATATTCGGAAGAATGTTGGCTATTTCTTTGTATATTCTTGGATGTTTTGTTTCGTTGTTTCTTTGTCTTTCGTCATTCACTTTTGGAAAGGATTATGTTCTCTTCATGTTTCTTCCAAAATCTTTTCCCCAAGTGAATTGAACTTCAAATGTATCTATTAGCTCATTAGGATGGCACCACAACCACATCGAGTGCTTTTGTGCATCTTATTGTTTTACTATTTCTATACTTATCGGCTCAATGTCTCAGGAGTGTTCTGCCCTATCATCCGAATTTTGAAGTCATCAACCCTCTGGCAGATGTTTTACATGGTTGAAACTGAACAGTTGAAGCTCTTTAAGGTTTGAGTGCTTGCTCAGACAATCGCGGGGGCAGGCGGTCCGCAAACACTCGCTTTTCTGCAAGCGGTCAGCAAGATTGCAAGACGTGGCCAAACCTTCAGCAAGCGGTACTTCCGTGTTCTGCCAGCTCTCCAAGCGTTCGTCAAATAATCTCTTTCATCGAGCGTGGGCCAAATTTTTAGCAGGGCGCTCATGTTTTTACGCAGTTCTGGGCGTACGCCAAACAAAGGTAACACTCTGCATGAGGTGTCATCGATGGTTCAATTACTCGAGTTTAAGGTACTTTCTCTCAGCGAAAGGTACCTACGGGCTATGAGGTCCTCCACAAATGACCGCGCGGCCCAATAATTTTGCATGTTCTCGAAGGTCCGTGAGAATCCGAGCATTCGTCTAAAATTCGCCAAAAATCGTCCTAATATCTGCATGCGGACCAATATCAGCAAACTTCCCGGTTCCCTTTTGCCCATAAATCGCATGACCGCCTCCCCTCAGCGATTATATGAGTACATGTTTAACACGTTTTACCAGGATTTGTTTAGCCTAGCTATCATTGAGTTCAATGTTTTATTCAACAATGGCCCATTTTGGCAACCAGTCAACAGTTCCTTTCATAAAGTTAAACATTATGAAAATGGCATTTTTTGTCTAACAAAATCATCAGGTTTTCCTAAAACAGAAAGTGCACTACTGTTCTATCATTTGAACGAATAAACAGTCGGCAACCATTTAAATTCAACATTTATATTTTTTCTCCGGCTGAATTCGCATCGTAGAGATCTAAGAAGAGCAGGGTTCCTCTAAATCATTGTTGAAAAGTTACCAGGATGATTGAACAAACATTTAAGACCAACTCTTTTTGTAGGAGTCGCTCCTGAACAGTCATTGATCTCGCACGTCACCGGAAATAATTTGAAAAAAAACCATGTCAAACTGGCCTTAAGCAGGTTGTTTTTACCTTGACACGCGGCAAGGAGACAGTCCTCTCCAGATCTACAGGAGAAATTTTCCAGGCCGAAGCACTGTCATGAACAATTTTGGAAAAAAATGGGTTTGAATAACGGAAAGGTATCCTCAGCGCCGCATTTAGGGCCGCATGCACTAACATCCCCGCCGGGAGGTGATCGCAGTTCGAATAAAAGCCTCACATCCTTAAGCTCGAGGATTTCTGCAAAATTAATAAAAGCGACCAAAGTTTCACTGATTATTTTACCAAACAGTGCTAAGCACGTTTCTGTTAAGAACAAATGATGTGTTGAAGTCATGAAATTTGCGATGAACCACTAGTCGTAAGTTGGAGTTTATCAAAAATTTTGAAGTCGCAACGTGATTCATG